GCCTGTCACGGTTTAGACAACAGTTAATTATTGTTGGCTAATTGTTTGTCCAAAAGCAAGATTAGGTAACATAGCATACTAAAATGTGGTTGTCTAGATTTCATATCATATTCATATTCTATATTTTTTTTATTATTTTTGATAGCAGGATTTACTCTTTGCGTATAAACTTGAATATTCATATCATTAAAAACTAGCAAAGTTGCCATACTGTTCTACTTTTGTTTAGAAATTTTATAACTTCTGCAATTTCAACAGTTTTTTTTCCCTTGTAATTCCAGATTCTTATATTGATTTTAAACATGTTAAGTTATATAATATTCAAACCTATAAAATTTGGTGTATGTTTGTTATATATGTATGAGTGTTTACTTTACTGTATATATTAATGATATTCTTACATGCTTTTTATTATTATTAACTGTTGTATAACAGTTATCAGTGATGCATTTAGCAATATGGTGCCACTAGGCCCATAATATGCAGATGCCCCACAAACTAATAGTGCCACTTTTGTACTGCAATAATTGTATTTTCATGGATTTTTAAATATTGAACAGAGAAAAGGGCACTACTATTAAAAACTCCATCAATACTACCACTCTGTTCATGCAAAATATATTCATAATTTAAGATATATTAGTTAAATACAGTCAACCCCCCTGTAGCAAGGGTTCCTATAGTTCGGATTCCTATATCACGGTGAAAAAATTGCGACAGTATTTGTACAAACATGCTAAAAAAACTCCTATAATTCGGTGAAACATCATTGCTGACTCGTGTCGCGACAGGATTGGTCAAATCTAGACCAATAGCGGATATTGCAAAAACCGTTGAGTTTAAACGAGCAGCGGACCTACCAAAAACCATTTATTATTTAACATCCATAAAAATTATATTTATATTAATGATGTCTCTAAAGTTCAGCAAATTTTTCGCAAAAAAAATAATTTATCAGGAAGCACGCGAGCGCCATTTGATGACAATCTCCATAATGAAAACAAGCTTAAGCAATGGCATAGTCGANTTACAAATATTTCGTAAATAATAATGATTCGTTTAAATCTACACTACTTTTCTGTTTGCAATAATTTAATATATTTTATGATAATCGTTTTAAAATAGTATATAAAAAAGCTATTGTAAAAATTTTTATTCTCTAAGTTCCTTTTTTTTTTGATGCTGTAGGTTACTTTTAAAAATTCACGATATTCATGCCATATATTCTATATCCAATCTGAAGATATATTAGATTATAGATTCGTCTCAACACTTCCACCTTTAGATTCTAAATCCTCCTTCGCATCTGTTTAAATTTAGTTCGTAATAATAGCTACTATGTTAGGTTTCAGATCCATTCTGACAGCTATCTACATCCTAGATTCTCTCTGTCACATAAAGATCTTTTCTTAAACCTACTTCGGATTTTATGTTCTCTCTAGCATTCATTTTCAATATATGATTATTTGTTTTGTTTTAAAACAATCTATGTTTTAATTATTCGTCTACAAATTTTCGAACAAATTAATTATTCATTTGAAAAACAATTAGTATTTTATTCATAATCTTATATTAAGTGACTTTTTTTTAAATTTAAGTTTGTATTCGACAAAAAATAAATCTACAAGTTTTAATATCTCTTTTCTTTCTTTTCGATTTGAGACGTTTCTGTACTTATCCGCTCTCTCTAAATTATTAATCCTAATGTACAGGACATACAATACAAATAAATTGTAAACCTTCTGTTTATATAATTTAAATAGTAGTCTATTATATATACAAATATATAGGCCTATATAAACTCTTAAGTTTTTCGTACTTGAACTGTATTAAACAGAATTCATCATTCTTATTTAAATTATAAACCAACAATTTTCAATTTTAATAGAAGGATTTTTCTTTTTTTTTCTTTTATCAGAGATATTTTCTTTCATAAAGAGGGATTTTATTATAATTATTTATATCTTATTTTAATTTCAATTATTTTTTAAATATTTATCTATACAATAGTTTCGGAAACAAATATGGTATAGCCTACTGCAATTGATATTTAACTGAAAAATCAATAAGGAAAGAACCGTTTTTCTTTTGCGTCTAATGCTTTAATCATAAAATATAGATAAGATATAGATTAATAAGTGATCAATAGTTGTTGTTTGTTTCGTGCACTACCTTATTGAAGAACTATATGGAGCTCGTTACATTTACATCGTTCTGCTAGACGATAATGACAGCAGTAGACGTGAATAGCGACTTTTGTTATCCTAACAGGGAGAAGATATAATTCAAATTCATTACTGCATAACGTTTCATCTTTTACATATTAAGCATATGCAATTTACAATTTCAGTAGCTTCCGAATAGTGGATATAGCTTACGACCGACAAATACATTCTGCGTACGAACTGAACTCAATTCCCACGTCTGTTTACACTTTGTCTTAAGCAGAAAATAGCCCACTACTTACATGTGTGGCCACAGCTACTGCAGTGGATGTAATCAGTGGCATAATACATTCATGTTTGTCATTCGTCCAACAAATACATTAATGTATTAATTGCTTATAAAGTTAGTGAACGAGAATGGAATCTAGTTGTGGAATATTTTGCGATGTCTACTATGAGTATAATACCACGCTACTACCAGCACCAATATTGATTAAAGGATATTCGCTGTATGGAATCAATGTACTTTTTAATTATCTATAACAAAAAAACAAACACATTTTATTAAATTGTTTACGTATGTCATTTTATGAATAAAGAATTAATTTATTTTTCCGCTTTTAGTCATATAAATATTTAATTCTATAAACTAGCTTTAATGCTTGTCTGTAAATTATAAATTTAAAATCATGTTTAGATTATACAAATATAATATTTTATTATTAAAAATATTTATCTTTACTATTTTTATTTTATTCCAATAAATGTAAGGCTATGTGCTTAAAAACGTTACTTAAATTTTCTTACCTTAAATTTAATTTTTAAGTAAGAAAAAACATTTTTTGAATTTAGTATTAAACCAGAAAAGGTTAAAATATAAGTTCTTATTTTTTTTAGTAAATCATTTTTTTTTCTTTTTGATTTTTTTAAAAATAAGTTATTAAGTACTTTCAATCTAAGATAATCAAGAGAAATTTCTGCTCTTAAAAGCATTTATTAGCCGTACGACCAATAACAAAACTGCTGACAAATCAAATTATTAAAAATTATGCACAGGAAGAAACAACCATCTAATAACGTTATTAATATTAAGAGAGGCCAGTTCAGCTGTCAACATACGTTTATTAGCAAGATTCAGTAAAGGTAAAGAAAGATGGTTATTAAAATCATAATAAATTATCTACCAATTCTATTAAATAATTAAAATAATAACATTTAAATATGATTAATATATGATTAAAATGATAATTTTTTTCATTCTTTCGGAAAAAAGGTAAATAAAAAAATTAATTAAAATGTATAAATGGAAGGAAAACTAATAAATATATTTTTTAGAACGATTTATATTTTAAAAACGTAGTTTAATAGTTAAGATTTTTAAGTAGATTTATAAAAAAAAAACGATTACTAATTCTGTATTTAAATAATTAAAAAATAGACAAAGATAATTACTTTTTTGTCTTTCACTCAGAATTTTTTTCGATAATTTAATTATGCAGGTAAGTCGAAATGATAATAGAAAACAACTTTATGTCCCGTGTCTTTATCAAGTTAGATGACATTCCGTTTCAATTACACGGAGAATAATTTGTGTAATAATAGAAACATTATTTTAAAAATCAGAGAAAAATAACATCTGCTTTGTAAGATGACAATGACGTGACAAAAAACACCCACCTTGCATATATTAAGAATGATTAGTAAGATTGCGTGTTATTGATAGGCAGTTAAGAAAAACATCAAATGAAAAAAGGAATAAATCAATTCGTTTTATTATTAATTATTGATATTAATTCGAATTTATGTTGTTTTCTTTCTTATCGATCCGTAACGTTTTGACTATTTTGGCATATTTTATTTTTCCCAAATGTATTATCAAAAATATGTGGACGTTAAACATGAATTACGGCATTAATTGAATGCTGTGATGACATCAGACGAATAACATTGGTCGGTTCTAATTAAATGACCCAATTATAGTCTTCTATTGTTTTCCAAAGACTGAATTTGATCGGTCCAAAGGTATAAAGTTAAGAAAAAATAAAATAAAAAAATCTAGCGCTGTAGATAAATCCAGTGATTCATTCGTAATTTGCCATAACGTATATAAATGTAAAGAATATTTGCTTTAGGTAAATAAGGCTGTATTTCATTATAAGTTAAAATTCAAAAGAAACTTCTCAACTCTCGTTAAATATTTTCCCTTCTTTATAACGACCAGATAATGAAAATAATAATAATAATAATTAAACGTACGGCAACTGCATTAACCAATCTGTTTAAAAGGGTGAATTAAAGACAATTTTCCTGTTTATTTTTTTCTTTCTGTAGGCCTAATTAGCCGAATATTCAAGTAAATCGTTACACAGAACTAGTTGCGTTCCCAATTCAGTTCTTTATTGTAATTTACTGTTTTAAATTTCGTACTGTTTGTTATAAGACGAAAGTTAAATGACAATCATATGTTGTTATAAATCTTTTGAAAAGATCTCTTAACATTTAAACTTGTCATAAATACATTAAGTAGACAGCTTGGCGTCAGATTTCGAGAAAAGCGTAACAAAAAAATATATTAAAAAAAATGCGAATCGGAATAAAAAAACTTTTCCATTCCTTTACAACCGAAAGATCATCAACTGATGCGGGTTCCGATGACGTCACGAACAGCAACAACGTATCAACCAATCGGTGATCCGAGGGCAAGTTTATTATTGTCGAAGCGAATACAGACGTCATTTATTACGCCGAAATGCATTTTAAAATATTTATACCGAAGAAAATTTATAATTAATAACGTTATTAATATTTTATACTTGAATTTATTACGGCGGAGGTATTAGATTAGAGATAAGAAAATGTTTTAAGAATAGGAGAAAGCTTCCACCCCCCGCCGCTAGTGGATCTTTCCTCAGCTGATATTTGACTGTCGCGTTGTAGTGGATAGTGTTCGAGCAGCTTCGAACGGGATAAGAAGATGAGTGTTATCCTGAGGTAGTGTCGTCCTTTGTCTACATTAAATGATCAAAAATGGCACAAAATCATTACAAGTAGACTTTAAACATCTTGTCGACAAGTTAAATGACGGTTTTGTTCCATTTTAGGTTGGTGATTTCCAAGAAAACTTCTATTTTGATGTAGGCCTAACCAAGGCGAAGTCTCGACCAAGTTGTCAGAAAAGGACTGCAATTTTTCCGTCTTATTTTTTTTTTATATATATATTTTTCCGATTCAGTTTGGTGCTGAAATGCTTAGGTATTTGACGCAAAAACTTCGAACTCAGTCTCTTAACGAAAGCGAAGCATTCCAGTCAAAGGTAAGATTACTTCCAGCTTTTATTTTATTTATTTATTATTTTCTTGATTTACTTGTTTCCACTTTATATGTTACAACCTACATACCCTCACACATTAAAAATGAATAGAGAAAAGAAGCGTTTTTATAAATAATTTTTTTTTTTAGTTTTACAAGCCATGAAATTGGGAAAAATCTCTCATTTTTAGAATTCGAAATCGATTTTGATGGTCTTGACATTTTCTACTTCCACTTAAAAGTCCGTTTACTTGATAGTAAATAGGTTATAATATGAAAAATAATAATAATCGAAAATACATAAAATAATCTTTTTAATTAAACTAGGAATATTCAAAATGTCAAACTGTCATGCTTTCGTTAAATGAACTTTTGTCATAATTATAACCATTAAAATACAAAAGAGAACATTATAATGATGATAAACAGTCGTGTTTTAATAGAAGAAAATGTTGATTCAAAAATATTCTTTCCCTTCATAAAATACATGGGAAAACTTCAGTCAGAAGGTGTATATACTGTAACAATATATATCTGTAATATATATATATAAACTTTGCATTGTTGTATACAGAATTAATATATAATAAACAATTAAGGTTTTTCTGTTTTAGTTTAAAATTTATTTTAATTAAGAATAAATTTATTCAATAGCTACAATACAATAGACTAACTATTAATGTCTGGAAATTTATTCATGCAAAAAAATACTAATTGGCATAAAAAAAACGTGTGTGTATAAAAAACCGTTTTTTGTTTATAAGTATTTTTACAAAGTTAAATGCTATATTATTTAATGCCTGGTGATTTCTAAAAGTCAAAATTTATAGGACCATTTTTGTTTTTAATATTTATCTTTTTGAAATGTGAAAGTATGAGGTAAAGTTTTTTTCATCAGATTTAGATTAATATTGAATTTCTAGACCTGTTATAAAATTTCTAGTGTAGAAAAAAACTTTACCTATAAAAATAATTTTAATTATATTTAGTAAATTAGAATGCTAAATCAAAAAATAGATGATTTACATTCCTGTTTTACAAATATAGGTCAATGCGTGTTGATAGTTACTAATGAATAATTATTCAGCAAGAGGTTTAAAAGATGTATAAGTATTAAATTTACAAAAAAATAAATAATTACTATTACACTTAAAAACTGAAAGATCTGTATAGATAATTTGAATAGATAAAATGTAAATAGTTTTATTTTTTTAAATCATTTTTTAAGAGTAGATTGCTTGTTTTACTTTGTAATATAGGCATATTTAAAATAATCTTAATCATATCAGATTTTAGAAATTAAAATTTCCATAATATTTTTATGCATAAAAACTCAGATAAGTGTAAAATTTTGTTCTCTTTTTCTCCCATTTAAGCTAGTAGGTATGTTAATGTGAAGAAAGTACACACAAAAAACATCTTTTCATTAAAATAATAATCATATAAGATTGAAACCAACACAATAGAATAGATAGAAAAATTATATAATTAAAAATCCTATTTCATTTTTACAGTTTGAATATACCCAATAAGAATTTTTCTTTTAATATGAAATGTTTATTTCGATTTTGATTATATAAATTAAAAATTTTAAAATAAACTTATTATTAAAATAGTATTAAAAAAATTAACTTAATGTTATGATTCTTTTTAAAAATAATTTAATATATGTATACATTAGTTTATTCTACATTTAATTTACCATACTGAATATACAAACATTCAGTTTATAAAATTTCTGATTATGATGAGTCATAAAGTTCATACAAATCATAAAATTTTAAATTATTTGTAATAAACAAATATTTATTTTTATATCAACTTCTGTTTTTCATGTTTGTTATCATCTCATAAAACAATAGAAACTTAGTTTAAAATGTTTTTCTAATCTATTAAAAAAATGCTTTTTTGTAGTAATTTTTATTGTATATTCATACTTTATGTAAAAATAGAAATGCTAATCTTTAAAGCATCTAATATAATTAAATTGTATTGTTTGTGTTGAATGATATCTTTTGTCTTTGGCAGGATTGTATTAACTTCATAGAATTTTCATGTCCAATTTTCTCATTCTATCATAATTCATTTAAGTTCATTTTATTCATATTTTTGTTTTTTAGATGTCGGTGTTCACATGATTAGACTTCCAATTGGATTAATAATCTGATTGGAGAGGTAAATTCAAGCACAGACAATATAAGATCATTGTTCTGATTTAAATGTATAACAACTCAAATTTTTTCTATATTTTTTTTAAAAACATGTATAAACATTTCAGAATTTTTGCTGATATTTTGACAAATTGTGGATTTCCAATATAGAGCCATATTGTAAATCTATCTAATAAATATGAAGATAGTTATGATATGAGACCCCTACATTGGCAAGTGTAATTAGGAATCCACAAATTATTGAATCAACAATAAATTGATTTCTATTGACTCTTAAAGAAATTTTACTATAGTTATAAATTTTGATTTTTAACCATATCAGTTAAGTGTTAAATTTTCTTTAGAATGTAATTTTTTATTATTGAGGAAAGGAAATTTTAAATATTTTAAAAACATTTTGATTTTTTCCCACTATATGTTACTTGTTTTTAATTATCTAGTTTTCGTTATACAGTCTTTTTATAATTTGTGGTCTCAAAGTTTACAAATTAAATGCCTACGTTAGCTCATTGTTGAATTTTTTAATAATAATTTCACATTTTATTACATAATTTTCTTTTGAGAGTAATTGTTCAAGTTTTATTTTCCTTATGTGAAATAATTTTAAGTTAAAAGATTTTACTTGGACAAAAAATAAATCATTTGTCATTTTTAATTTTCTATAATAAATAAAATAATTACATTAAGATAATTTTATTTATGATTTTATGTACAAATATCCAAGACAACTGAAACTGTGTTAAGATTTGAAACCTTTTGTAATTTTATTTTTAAAACATTTGACCCTAATGTTCTATTTACAAATAAAAAGTAAGGTGAAATATATTTTCAACCAGCAAGTTGTTTAGTAGAAAACAAATATTTTCAATTATTTATTTATTTTGGTGATCATCAGGTTTCAGGAGCTTTTTGATTGAACTTCAAATTTAAACATTTTTAGTTTTGAGTTAGTATGTACAGTACATTAATGTTCTATTACTTCCAGAACTTAAAGCATTAGAAAAAAATCAATGAACACAGTTCTATATTAATTTCATAAAAACTGATTTGTGCTGTAATAATATGACTCATTATACCTTTCTAATATGCCAAAAATATTAAATCTATTAAAATTAGTGTAGAAGTATGAAAAGTGTATATTGAAATTGTAGATCTCAAGTTGAAGCTTGTTACAATTTTAGTATTAATTCGTTTTAAATCTAAGATTTTATTAAATATTTGTTATTCTGTTATGAAATTTAAGACATATTTCAAGACACTCATTACATCAAATTTAATAATTATTAACTAAAGTTTTTTGTTTAGATAAAATTATTAAAAACAGTTTATGGGTATAAATTTTATATTCATTCCAATAGTCTTTAAAAGAAATTTCATGAATTAGAGAGAATTTTTATTACTAATTTTGTGTAAGATTTGTTTAAAAATACTTTTTAAAAACAGCCAAGTTTATTTTAAGATTCAAAGCATTTTTTCACTAGTATTAAAAAAAAGATATGTATAAACTATTTTGAATATCTATATCATTATGCATTAACTTACTCTTATAAACTAATGTAAATACATAATTTTTAATTGTAATTATTGATGATGAAACAAGTTGTTGCTTGATTTTTATTATAGTTAACATATCAACAAATCTATACTATATGAACTAATTGTTTTTGACATAAATGTGATTATATTGATAAGCTAAAATAATTTAAAACTTTTAAATTTTTATTATGTTTTTAAAGTTTTCATATTGGAATAATAGGACAATTGGAAGAAATTTAAATACTTTTTGATGCATTAGAAAATAACTTAGAATTTTCCCCAATAATAATATCAATCTAAACATAAAAGTTATGATGTTTACCTATTAAAATTTATAATACTGTACAATCTTTTTGGAAATTTACAATACCTATTATGATCATGAGGATGATGATACTATTTATTAATAATTATTATTATTTAACTAATCAAACAGTCCAACTATGCAAAATGCTGTGTTGAAATGTTTTTGTTTTTAATTCTTAATTATAGCATTTTTTATAAATATACATTAATTGTAAATCATTATTTTTGTAACTAACCTTACTAAGTCTTTATTTAGTTGATCTATAGTTTAAATTGTAGTTTAAGCCTGTCACGGTTTAGACAACAGTTAATTATTGTTGGCTAATTGTTTGTCCAAAAGCAAGATTAGGTAACATAGCATACTAAAATGTGGTTGTCTAGATTTCATATCATATTCATATTCTATATTTTTTTTATTATTTTTGATAGCAGGATTTACTCTTTGCGTATAAACTTGAATATTCATATCATTAAAAACTAGCAAAGTTGCCATACTGTTCTACTTTTGTTTAGAAATTTTATAACTTCTGCAATTTCAACAGTTTTTTTTCCCTTGTAATTCCAGATTCTTATATTGATTTTAAACATGTTAAGTTATATAATATTCAAACCTATAAAATTTGGTGTATGTTTGTTATATATGTATGAGTGTTTACTTTACTGTATATATTAATGATATTCTTACATGCTTTTTATTATTATTAACTGTTGTATAACAGTTATCAGTGATGCATTTAGCAATATGGTGCCACTAGGCCCATAATATGCAGATGCCCCACAAACTAATAGTGCCACTTTTGTACTGCAATAATTGTATTTTCATGGATTTTTAAATATTGAACAGAGAAAAGGGCACTACTATTAAAAACTCCATCAATACTACCACTCTGTTCATGCAAAATATATTCATAGTTTAAGATATATTAGTTAAATACAGTCAACCCCCCTGTAGCAAGGGTTCCTATAGTTCGGATTCCTATATCACGGTGAA